ATCTCAGCTTTACCGGAAGCACAAACAGGCAGGACTGCGCATCCGGCGTAAAAACACAAGACCCTTCCTAAAAATAAAGCAAAAAGGGCCAGGAGCATGATTCAAGTGGTAGAATGCTGCCTAGCAGTATGAGGCCCTGAGTTCAACTCCCAATATCACAAAGAAAGAAAAACAATGAATTAATTAAAAATAATACTTCTCAAATTGAGAAGGCTTTTTCAGTGAAGTACACATTTGGTTACATGTAATAAATGTATTAACCAGATTTTCACTTTAATAGGTATTTATCAAGCGAAAGAATGCAATTCCATAACCAGTTGATAAGGAGTCTAAAACACTGCTGAGAAATTCTATGCAGAGCTTGTCAACTGTCAGCACTATGGGGACAGAAGTGCTCGAAGTGGAGCATGAGAGAATGATTGGATTCATAAGGGCTCTAAACTCATTAGTGGTTTAATACATTCTTCATAATTAAAGGACTACTCGAAGTTGGGCCGTTAATTGGATAAAGCAGGTAATTGAAGCATTTAAAGACTATATTGTCTACTGGGCCTCCTGGCCACCATGAGTAAGACCGTTCTGCTCTGGCACACCTTCCAGCCATGATGACTAATGCAATGGAGCCAGCCAGCCATGGACTGAGATCTCTAACCATGAGTCAAAGATAAACCCTTCCTCCTTTTAATTTGTTCTTCTCAAGCATTTTCTTACAATGCTGCCCGACCACCCCTCCAAGAAAGCTGAGTAACTAGTCATTATGCACTGAAATAGGTTCTGAAGTAGAGTGGAATCTTTAAAGATAATGTACCTCACCTGTGGCTGATGCACTCCTCGTTGGAGCCTCTCTAGTTCAATCCTCTCTCAAGGACAAGTGTCTAGAGTTCCTCTGACAAGACAGAGGAGGGGCAATCAATCATTCACTGAAGGGCTTCATGAGGGACCAGGAATCTAATGCTCCCTAAATCCAAGTATTCATTCTAGCCTTCATCACCCTGCTACTACTATTTCTTAAGCATTTTCAGAATTGTTTTAGCTTTTTCTGTTCTAAAATAGTCTTGCTCAGCAACTACTTTGCAGCTTCCAAAACTATTAACATCCCATTATTATTGCCTGTTCCTTTCCTATTTTCTCTGCTCTACTGAAATAGACCTTTTAAAAATGTTTGGCAGAGGTAGGCAAGATAAATGTACTTATTTAACCCAATATATTTAAATTTCTTTTTATACTTTAAATTTTTTAAGACCTAAAATATCAAATATGTAAATATCAATTATTTTTAATATATCAAGACTCTGAATGAACAGAAATATGTATTTCTTATGTCAAAATTCCTCAATTTCTTATTTCAGAATCAAGACAGAAGTTTCAGGTCCCAGAATGCAGGGAAGAAAGAAGGAAGAACAGAAAGGAGAAAAGGAAAGAAACAGAGCTTACAGACTACTTTGTTCCGCATTTATTTCTTCTTTCAAAAGACATCTCCATCCTCTACTTCCAAATGGCTGATATCTGGTCCTTCTTGATATGGTGTAATGACTCTTCTATCCATTGCTGGAATCTATAGAATAAAAATGTCACTTTTTAAATACGAAACATTTAAAGATTTAAAATATAGATAAAATATTCCATCTGTTTTAGTATATGGTGACAATAACTAGAAAAGATCTAGAATGCCTAGTAACTTCCTAAATTCACAAAGGAAGAAAATTTTGATTAGATTCATTAAAAAGTGTATTTCATAAAACTGTGAAAAAAAACCTACCTTGAATAAAAGCTCTACTTTATTATTAAGTACAGACTAGTCCATTTGTTAGTCATGTGAATCCATGTTCCTGCACTGTCCTGACCTTTGGTAAGTAAGAAAAACTCTGAAATTTTCAGTAAGTTTTATTTATAAGTGAATTAATATAGATACAAATCTTATCATTAAGTATCTTCAATTTAGATTACCATACTCATCTTGGTATCCAAAAGAAATTCTATTTTCTCATTTCTAAAAAATCCTAATGTATGTGCACTCCTTAAGAAATTATTCCACTGTGAAATCTGATCTAATTTATTTAGATGATAATATTATGGCCACTAAATCTTCACTGGAAGAACACAAACCTTACCATTTTTCGGTAAAATACAGAAAGATCCTTCAAAACATCATCACTTAAAACATCAAGAGACCTAAAAAATGAGAAATAAAATTATAACACTCAATTTAATAGCTGTCAAGATTTTCAAATATGTACAAATATTTCAAATTGCCAAATAAGTAATAATGTTATTTTTCAAGCTTATATATACTGTCTACTATAAAAACCTTTTAGAAATACATAGTAATTATGCTATTTCAAGTAAACAGCAAACCTAAGAGACAAATATCTTGAAAAAAAAAACTCAAGTACTTATACAAATAAGTTTACAAAGAATCTTTCCTATTTTAACAAAATAGTAAGTATTCATTTTCCATAAATTACAACACTGAATTAACCATGGCTTATGTATCAGGATAAGCAAATTCTATCCAGAATTATCATTGTACCACTACCTGCATGACTTTGAATAACTCAACTTTTTTCTGGGCTTACCATCTTTGTGTGCAAAATGAGATTTGGACTGTATCAGCTATATTTCATTCAGGTTCCATACAGGTATTATAAGGCATCAGTGGAAATTTAAGTAAAAATTCATACTCTATTTATGTATGTGTGTATGAATATATATATTTGTGTATGTACATTTTTGAGTGTATGTGTATATATGTTTTTAAAGCAATTTTTACAACTAGTATGAAATTACTTATATATTCAAATCTGTACTAAATCAGTTTTCAACACTGAGAATAAATGATACATTAACTTGTGATGCTACATCAATTTTAGTGCTCTGCACATATTATTTATATTTCTAGCAAACACATATGTGATTAAGAACTTAATTTGTATAAATCTTTGACTGAACTTGTATGTCTACTTAAGCAAAACTATATGAGACATCACCACAAGTACTATCTTAAGTGGTTCAGCTGAAACACCTGTCCCAAGATAATAGTTGAACAATAGTGACACATCACTTTCTAATATAGTATTTATTTACTCTTTCAGTGGTACTAGGATTTGAACTCTGGGCCTCACCCTTGCTAGGCAGATGCTCTACCACTTGAGCCACTCTGCCAGCCCTCCAATATAGATTTTAGATAGAGTTGATGTTTGTTTTATTTTTGGTTGATTCTTATTTGACAAACCAAATGATATTAATTTGGCAATAGAAAGTAATAAAAATGTTTTCAATAGAAACACTAAAACAATGTAGCAATGAAATTAAATTTAGTCTGAAAATCTAGGCGGGTTCTGACTAGGTATCAAATGCATTTTAAAATAACACTGTTTAATATTTCATAACATTGATTTTCACTTAAAATCATTTTTTTCACAAAATAATAGAGCTTAAATAGCAAAAGAATTTTCTCCTAATTGAGTTCTACCTGTCAATTTTAAGAATGTTAGTGATTCATCTCCAAGAAACAGCAGAACATTACTTTTCAATCATGTTTTGGAATTAGTTTGATTAAAGACTTTGAAAAGTGAGTTATTAAAAAGCTGTTAACATAGTAATAATACAAATCAAAATTTTCTTGGTTCTTTTCCAAAAGAAAAAGAGTCTCTTGGTTTCCTCATTTGTAATAAAAAGATATTAACAGAGCCTACTGTACACAGTTTTCATGAAAGTTGTACAAATTAATCTAACATATTTTGGAAAAATACCCAATACATAGTAAGCAATAATTATTGTTATAATCATTGAAGCAAAATACAAAAGCAAGTACAAAGTAAGCACTAAGTATTAGTTATTATTATTATTACTGAACAAAATAAAGAAATGAACTAGATGATAAATCCTTACAACGCAAACTGCAATGGGATTTTAATATCAAACATCTATAATCACCAATATAGACTCATTTCTCTTACCACTAACTTTTTAGTGAGAAAAAGCAATACTTTGACCTAATATGTGAAATGTAAAGTATGAAGTTTTTCATTAAAAAAACAAATCATTCCCAGCCAGGCCTGCTGGCACATACCTATTCCAGTACTCAGAAGACTGAGGTAGGGGGATCATTAGTTTGAGGCCAACCCAGGCAACATAATGATCCTGTCTCAAAAACCCAAAATCAGTAATAAAAATAACTGACATTTCCAACATTCCTCTAATTTTAAAATCTATATGAATTCTAAATTATTAGCATTTATCAAACTGTCTCCAGGTAAATATCCATTTTTAAATTATAGCATATCTTTTATTTTGTTTTTGCTGAAGTCATATAATGGATGTATTCAACCAACCTCGCTTCAAGTAAAGCTGCCATATTCAGTCCTATAAACTGTAAACAAGACAGTTTCAGCTGTTCAGCACTATACATTGCTGCAAATTCCAACAGCATAGCAGCATTCTTAAGGGTAACTACAAAGAAAGAAAAGATTTGCAAAATTAGATGAAAGGCACATTACAATAGATAAAATATATTGATTTTGAAAATTGTCATATTTGAACACTTAGAACAAGGAAACTGAAAGTATTTTCTTACCAAAAGCAACTTATACTGGACAAATGAAGGATTCATTTGCCATTACAATACGCTATAGTACTTTCAAAAGGCATGCATGTACAAACATTTTAAGCAAAACAAATATGGAAAGGGCAAACATGTAAGTACTAACAACACTCCTAACAATTTAATATTTTTAACTTTCATTAATTAAACTTTCCTTTTTATTTATAGCTATTCCCGCTTCCATAAAACCAAAAGAGATATTCTTAAGACTAAGAGAAACAGATGAAATAATTCTATAAAATGAATTAATGTTTATTAATCTATCAGGCGTTATATATTTGTGTGTGTGTGTTTGGAATACACATCTAACTCTTACCAAAATATTAACCATACCAGGTCAGAATCTGATATACTGTACAAAAGAGTGAATTTAGTAACAATCCTATTAATTTTAGATGTGAAGTATCTGATTCTGCTAGAGACCCTTCAAGAACATTCTACCTATATAGCATAAAACTGCAATTTCTTGAACCTCTCTGTTCTTTGTCTTACTCTGAGTCCCAGTCAGCAGAGGAATACAGTTGTTTTCTGTACCTGGCTTCTACTTATCTTTTTATTTCTTCTCTTTTGTATTTTATCAAAAGTTGCAATTACAGTCAATAATGGTTTCTGCTTTACCCCTGACTAACCTAGTTTCAACAGATGATGAAAACATCTCATATCTCACAGAATTAATAATATTGGATCATATAAACAACTTCCTAGAATTCTTCAGTTGGGAACAAAGATATACACACTGCTCAATAACAAGAGATCAAACTTCTGTGGAATTTTTTTTGCTAGTTTCTAGGAAGATCATGGAATTCATTAATAAATAGAGGCAACTATGCAGCAGGTGCCAAGAAAGAATATCCAAGGGAGATCAGGAAAGTCAGTTAAACAAGTGAAAGTATTATGTAAATATATGTATTATATGCTGCCCTTTATTTTAATATGTTTTTTTTCTTGCCTATAAAAGATCCAGGGTATTTTTCTCTCACTGATAACCAAGGACAAGATGATCTACAGTGCTCAAAAAAAGATAACGGAGCTAAGTAAAGTCATCTAAGTACAAATCAGAAGAATTTGACAGGAATTTCCTTCATGCTTCCTAAAGTAACAATGAAGAAAAAGAAATATAAAATTAGAAAACCATAAACCTTCCGTGTTAAGGCTAAGAAAATTTAACTTTCATTCTAGAGTAAGCAACTAAAAATATTTAAACATGAAGAACACACAATTACTTCCTATAGCAAGATTAAAGAAAGTAGAAGGGAGGAAAAGCATTTAAAGACTACTGTGATTCTGCACAAAAGAAATGGATACCAGACCTAACTAGCATAGTAACTGAGAATCAGAAGATGGGGAAATGTGACCTACAGTTAAGACACATCAATTTTGATACCTGAAAGAGTTTGAGCATAAAGGACAAAAGACAAATAAAAGAGCAATTTTGGATTTCAAAGTTGAGTGTTAAGAATAGCCTTGAAATAACCAAAATAAAAAACAGAATGTTTTGAGAGATAATAGATATGGTTTATTGACATTATTCACAGAATTATAGAAAAATTCCAGCAAATAGTAGATAAAATCAGAGATACAATCAAGAGCTAAAATCAGAGATACAATCAAGAACAGAATAAGGGTAAAAAAATTCTGCTTTCAAACTGCAGGTTCTCAAATAAATTTCATATCATCACTATTATTCATGGCTCTATGACATTTCAATAAAAAGTTAACACCATCTTTCAAGTATAAGATGTATATACTTTCACATTTCTGAGGTAAAGATATGCTTACAAATGATAGCATGCAATAATTTAAATTTTTCGACATTTTCTGTGGTACAAATAGTGGTGTATTTTACCATAATGAATAATAACACTAATATAATACAGTAATCCTGAACCAATCTGAAAATACGCTAATGCTCTAATTTAAAGTTACTCACGTTTTTCAGTTAAGGCTACTTCACAAATCTCTTTCAATCGAGTTATGAGAAGTTGATCAGCCACTACAAGAACACTACAAATAAAATACACATGTTGAGATTCTAACAGAAAGAAAAAGAAAACAAATATTACTCTCTATTACTTTGTAATCATTATACCTGGTGAAAAAAATTAAACGTTAAGATAGGAAAGATAAAATTGTGATTATGCTCTACATGTTGGAATGGCTACTATGACCAATACTAAATACATCAAAATATGTCTATCTTTTCATTAGAAAAAAGAAAAAATATATACCAAAATATGGTGCAAACACTGTGTACACATGCATATAAATGGAAAAATGGAATTGGTTGACACTATTCCAGGAATAGGGGGAAGGCAAGATGAAGAAGAATGGTGGAGGGGGTGAATTTAAGTATGACCCATTTTGATATATTGTAAGAACTTTAGTAAATGCTACAATGTACCTCCAGCCAGCACAACAATGAAAAAAAAATGCTTTGGTTCACATGGGAAGCCAAACTGAGGTGATGATTTCGGTGTAGAAGACTATTAGAATATCTATATATGTGTGTGTTTAAGTATGATGCTGAGATTTGACTTTCCATTCTATTTATTAGTTTGAGAAATATTTCACATTACACATGGGGGATATATTTATATAGAGATACATCTTTATATATGGGAGCTCTTAAGACTTTCTTATTTAAAACACAATTTATCATCTAATAACACTTTTAAAACTAAAAACTATAGAAGTTCCTTAATTTAAAATAACCTTCATAAGCTAGTACACAACAGAGCCACTTGCACGCCCATCTTTATTCCAGCACTATTCACAATAGCCAAGCTTCAGAAACACCTTAGATGCCACACATCTGGTACATGGATTAAAGAATTGCAGTACATACACATCCTGGAGTATTATTCAGCCAAAGAAGAATGAAATTATGTTAATTGCAGGTAAGTGCATAAAACTGGAGATCATCTATGTTAAGTCAAGTAAGCCAGGCTCAGAAGGACAAAGGTCACAATCTTTTCCTTCATATATTGAAGCTAGACCTGTAGGAACTACATCAATACAGGTACGATCTTATATACATATATACATACATGAGAGAAAGAGAGAGAGAGAAAGAAAGACAGAGGGAGAGAGAGATAGCATGATCATAACAGTGAGTCTGAGGTGACTATGGGGTGGCAGGAGAGGTAAAGAGCATGATAGAAATCAAATACTATTGAAATATATTGCATCTGTGTATGAAGGTAGTGTAATAAAATGCACTGAGAGCTGCTGAATAATAGGGAACTGGGGCACGAACAAAGAGAGAGTATTAGAGGGGGCTAATCTTATTAAAGTACAATATACACATGTGTGAAACATCAAGGCGAAATCCCCTTGAACAGTCAACATTCACTTAAATAAATGAAGACCAAGAAGGTAAAACAGGTTTTGTTTTAGGGTGGGTACCAATTAGAAGGGGGAAAATAAATGGAGAGGGTGAAGGAGGGCTAATATGGTGAACGTACATTGTATGACTGTATGAAAATAGAATATTTATGCTCTTAAACAAAAAAATTGGAAAATAAAATTGCCTTCTTGATCCTAAGTACTGCCAATGATCTTAAACACTTGCCCCTAAGCAAAATAACAGAAACAGGAAGGTAACAGGAAAGGAGAAAAGAGGTTACCAAAGAAAAAGAACAGAAAATGTTTTATAAAAATGAAAAAGTGATGGTCAATGGGAATGACAAACAAGAACATCTGAAAATTCTTTCCTCCATAAACGCAATCTGAAGTTTACCAAAAATTATTGAAATCAACTTTTTCAGAATTCCAGAAATCACCCAAAGGCTTACATTAATCTGGTATGTATTTACTCAAGAAAAGTGACTGAATCTTGGTTTAAAAAAAACAAGTAAGCCTTAGGTCACTGAAGCTTTTAATTTTCAGCAAAAAGTTATAAGCTTCCCTAATCCAAAAAATTCAAAATTCCCAAAATCCAAAACATTTTTATGAGGTATTTTAAATTAGGATATATTCATAGCACAGGGGGAATTCACTGTGACAATTCCAAATAGGCTTATATTGTACATTGGTTAGATCACCCTTGCTGTCTCTCCCCCTCAATCCCTTCCCTGCCCCACTTAGAGCAATTGCAAGGTTTCTTTGTTCTATTTCATAAAAGTATATGAATGAAGTCCATCCACCATATACCCTCACCTAAATTTCCTTCACTCTCCTCACTCCCACTAGTATCACCCACACACATGCTATACCTATTATACAGTCCTGTCTTTCCTTATTAATATTTAAGTCAATGTTCCAAGAGGTTTCTCACTGTGTCCCCACTGTAAGACTACTTTACGTTAGTCCTTCAACTACTTCAACTGCTCTCCCCTACCTTTTACTTCCGACCCCCCATTTTTCAATAGCTTTCAATGCATATCCTTACATCCTCTATCTTCAGATGATGTTTTATGCTATTGCTGATGCTCCATCACTCTTTTCCTTTCCCTCCTTCTGAGTTCCACAGAGTAGTTACACTATTACAAACATGATCTACATATGCATTTGCATATGATCACGTTTGTTTTTGTTTATGTTTACCTTTCAGATCTATCTTCCACATGAGAGAAAACATGCAGCCTTTGTCTTTCTGAGACTAGCTTACTTAACATAATGTCCTCCAATTGCATCCATTTACTTCCCACCCATATATCACTATTCCTTATGGTTAAGTAAAACTCCATTGTGTATATACACCATATTTTCTTGATCCATTCATCAGTCATAGGACATCTGGGTTATTTGCAGATCTTAGCTATTGTGAATAGTGCTATGATGAACATCAGTGTACAGGTGTCTCTATTGTATCCTGACTTTATGTTCCTACATATGTGCCCAGGACAGTTATCACTGGATCATACAGCAGTACTATCTTTGGCTTTTTGAGACATCTCCATACTGCTTTCCATAATGGTTATATTAATTTGCGAAATTCAAAACTTTTTGAATGTTGACATGAAATGGAAAATTCTACAGCTGACCTCATGTGACGTTAGAATCAAAATGCAAACACACTAAAACTACTGAATAAAATTACCTTCAGGGTATGTGTATAAGGTATATATGACACATAAGTGAATTTCATGTTTAGGTTTTTTTCTACCTCAAGATATCTCCTTATGTATTTATGAATATTTTTTTAAAAAAATCCAAACTCCAAAATACTTCTAAGTCCAAGTACTTTGGATAAGGGATCATCAACCTGTACCAAAATCAACAGATCCACAATCACAATGAAAATGAGCAGCTTCGGAGACACTGGGGAGAGGAAGAACAATCACAGAGCAATATTACCAAAGAACTACCACTGTGTGACCTGGTTCTTCCCTGGAAATGCCACTAGAAATGCATGTCTTTATTTGACCTGTGTCAAAGCTTGCTTGTTGAAAAGAAGCTTTTCCCTAGGGGCATTTACTAAAAATTATCAGCAATAATTGCTTAACATTGATTGAGGCTGCCTGAGATGATGCTAACTGTACAAAATAAAAATAAGCAACAGAAGGAAAAAAAAAATCTTAACATTCAGCTGTTGAAGTCCTACTCCCCAGTATGGCTATATTTGGAAAGGGGACCTCTCAGGAAGTTACTAAAGTTAAATGAGGTCATTAAGTGTGGGCACTAATCCAATAGGATTAGTGTTATTCTAAGAAGAGATCCTAGAGACCTTGCTTACAATCTTTTTACACACGTGCATTAAGGCCATGTGACAACATATGAAGATGCCATGTGCAAGCCTAGAAAGAGAGCCTTTACGAGAAATCAACTCTTCCAGAGCATGCTCTAGGACATCTAGCCTCCAGAACTGTGAGAAAATAAACTTATGATATTTAAGGCACTTTATCTATAGACTTTTGTTATGGCACCCAGAGCAGACTAATGTAGATGGCTGCAGGAATTTTTGAAAATTGCTAATATAGTCCTGTGAATGTAGCCACACAAATGAACATACCCAGAAAAGACTTTTGAAGGCTAAAATCTCTGGCATAAGTTCAGATTCTGCACAAGAAGGAAACATAAGTGAAGACACATTATAAACTGCCAATCTGAACACTGACAGCATGTCACCAACACACACAGAGATCCTCTAGGCAAAAGCTGGTTCTAGACATTAATGGAAAATTGTTTAAGCATTAACTGACTACTACCCAAGTAAGTAGATGTTAATAGTCAAATAAGACAAAGAAGTCACAATTTACAGAATTAATTTAGAAAAGTCATTAAACAAAAAAAAAAACAACAAACCCTAAGGATGAGAAAGAATCTTATTTCTAGAGATGTAACACTATCATTTAAATGTCCAGATCCCAACAGAAAAAAAAAATTATGAAAGATGCAGAGATGCAATGAAAGATGTAAGTATGACCCACACACAAGAAAAAAAGCAGCTAAGAGAAACTGTCCTGGAATAAGTCAAGATTTGGACTTACTAGATAAAGACTTTAAACTAGCTATTTTTAAAAAATAAAGGAAACCATGTCTGAAAAATAAAATGATGAAGATAATACCTCATAAAATTAATAATATCTTTGAAAAAACAGAAATTAAAGTCAATTGAGATTATCTAATATAAAGACCAAAAACAAAAAAGAATGAAGAAAAACAAAGTAGAGAAGACTCATGAAGCATATCAAGACATATTTAAGTCCCAGAATGGGGGTGGGATGGGAAGGATAAAAGAAGAATATATGAAGAAATAATGGCTAAAAACTTTACCAAATTTGATGAAAAACATCTGCACATCCAAATGCACAACAAACAACTATTTACATAAACTTAGAGAGAATCACATCTAGACACACCATACGTTGTTGAAATGTAAAGAAATGAACTGGAGAGACAGGAAGTAAGAAAGTAGCTAATCATATGCAAGGGGTCCTCAAAAAGACTCAGGCCTTGATTTTTCAACAGAAACCATGGACCAGAAGGCAATGAGATAACACAGTCCTAACAGAGAAAAGATAGTCAACCAGAATTCTATTTTTTAGCAAAATTATCCTCTAAGAATAAAGAAATTAAGACATTCTCAGATTAACACAACAAAGACAGTTTGTTATTAGGAAACCTGCCCTAAAAAGAAA